GCCGGGACCTTTCGCCCTGGGGAACGGTTATGGTTTTGGGGAATGAGAGGGGACTTTTTTATTTGGGTTAATTTTTACTTAAGGGGGGTTTGGGACTGGGGTTTGTTTTTCCCCCGTTGCCCCAGGAAAAAGTTACCCGGGTGCGGGGGGTTGGGGGGGTGCCGCCGGGAGGGTTTTTGGGTCCCGGAAAAGGAAACCTTTCCCCTTTTTGAAGCTGGCTTTTTTACGGGTCAACATTTTTATAGGCCCCCGGAAGGGGCGGGGGCTTTTTGGGGGCCGAGTCCCAGCCAGCAAAAAGGACCCCGGTTTGGGGCGGGTTTCCCTTCCCCGCAAAAAGGGAAAATTGCCAAAACCCCAAAGGGGGCCAGCATGGGGGATTTATGTCCTTTTTAAGCCCCAATTTCCCCCCAAAAACGGCCGTCAAACCCCACCCACCCACTTAGTGGGGCTGATGGGGGAAAACAGTAAAATCCCCTTTGGGGGCTTTCTCGAAAGGGAAAAAGCAAGCCGGGGGGTTTCGTCCGGGAATTTACTTTTGGGCCCAAAAAGCGGTTAAAAATGCCCAAAGTAATGGGGGTTGGCAACAAAAAACCGAAAATAACCCCCTAAAATTCCCCCTTAAGTTCACCCCCCAAAACTTCATCTTACAAACGCGCTTGAGCCCAAAAAAGGCACCTATATCCCCCCTGGCCCGGGGATCCACCCGCGCAACAGCAGCAAAAATAACTGTGCGTCCGTGGGAAATATCAAATTGGGCCTGAACCCGTCGTCTCGACTGACTGCACCATGGGCCCAAACTATTTAAAAATACCGTCAAAAATAAAGGGGCGGGTTTTGGACATGAGCCGGCCCATTGGGGGTGAGGGTTTCCCACAACTAGACCAAACGCACGGGGGCTTCGAAAGCCCGCCGGTGTTCCCCGCTGGCTGAGCCAAACCCTTGCTTTGCACCAGCAGAAACTGGGCTAAAGGCAGCCCACCGCGTGGTTTTTAAAATCTGACGTCAAAGTTCAAAAGCAAGCAGGGCACGAAAGGGTAAAAAGGGCGAGCAAGAAAAGGTAAACACTGGCAAAAATTCAAAAAAAGAGCAAAGAGAACCAGCACCAAAAGACAAGGGAAACTGCTTTGTGGAAAAAATAATTTTGAGCAAAAAAAACAATAAAAGGGGAAAAAGTTTCACCCCGAACAAAAAAAATAAAAGATGTATGCAAGGGAATGTACTACAGGAAAATGCACAAAATGAGCTAAGGATAGTCAATAATTTCACCCGGAATCTTGGGAAAAAAAATTTATGAAAAGGAGTTGAACTGTAAAACACTGGGAGCAAAAATTGCACAAAAATCAAAATAAATCAGGTACTACCCAACACTAAAAATGTGCTTCAAGCAAAAGTTTAAAAAGATTGGGGGCTAGCATTTTCAAAATTTAAACCAATAAAAAAAAGGGAATTCACTTGCACAAGGGAAGTTGGGACAGAAAAGATATCAGAGTATGGAATAGGCCCCAAAAAACACAGAAAAAAAAATAAAACCCGAATTTCCCGAATTGCTTAAAAAATTGCACACAAAAAAAAAATTTAAAAAAAATGCCCAAATTTTTTAAATTTAAGAAATGGCAAAGGTTGCTGGGGTTTGCAAGGGGGTAAAACTGGCAAAAAAAAAAAAAAAATTTTGCACAATTCTCAAGGGCCCAAAAAAAAATTTAAATTCCCCCAAGGAAAATTTTTGGGAATTAATGGTAAATAAGCAGGTCCAAAAAAAACACTCAAAAGACTTGAGTTTTCAAAATAGCAAAATGCAATGCACAAGGGAAAAATTCACAGAAAAAAACCCTAGAATAAAAGTAAGCAAATAAATGGGGAAACAGAAGAAAATTTAATGGGGTAGGCACAGGGTTGTATCACTGCAGGAAAAATAAACTAAAAATTTTTAAATTTCTTGAAGAATTTCACTTAAATTTAAAGGAAAACACAAAAAAACAAAACAAGGGAGGGGTTCAACAACCCGTGGCTAACTTGCAGGTGCCAAAAAACAAAATAACGCACAAAAGGGATTTTCATTAAACTTAAAGTTTAGAGGTAAAAATTTTAAAAATGGTTTTAACCCCCGGAAAAATTTAAAAAATAACGGGGGTGCAAGAAGCAGAAAAAAAACTGGAATTTAAAAAGTAGGATGCAAAAATAAAAATTTTAAAAAAAATTTTAAAAACTGTGGTAAGGGCAAAAAGTGCACTGAAGACACTGAAAAATTTTTCGGGAAATATGGGTTCAGTTTAAAGAACTGTATTGGGCAGGCAGTTAAATAAGGGCACAAAATAATTTTAAAAACTAGGTTTTAAATCACGGGTTTTCTTAACTTTTAGTGCAGGAGAAGAACGAAATGGCCCGGGGTTGGCTTTTTGGTCCCCTAAAATTTCAGTGATTTTTCTAGTACACTACACCCTCGGCCCTTTGTATACTCTATGGGGCTTCAATTCGTAAAAAAAAATTATCAGAAAAGGACTTTTGGGGAAAACAGGGAAGGGGCCCGGGGGAACTCTGTGGAGGTATAAGATATTAGAAGAACGTGGATACCCGGCGTGAACCACAGCGTGTTGGTTGTTTTTCACGGCAAGGGGGTTCTGGGCCCCGCTACTTACTGCGGCTTCAGCACCACAACTGTGTGGGTTTTTTTTACCCTGGCAAAACGTGCTGGGGGCGCTACTGACTGCGGGTTCCCGGGACCACAAACTGTGGTTTGGGTTTTTTTCACTGGGAAGCGGGGTCTGGGCGCGCCCCCTGACGCGGCTTCAGCACCACAGCTTGGGGTTGGTTTTTTTCCCCTGGGAAGGGTGCTGGGCCGCTACTGACGCGGCCCTTTGCACCCCAGCTGTGGTTTGGGGTGTTTTTCACGGCCCAAACGGTCGGGTCGGCTACTGACTTTCGGCTTCAAACACCACAGCTTTTGTTTGGGGTTTTTTTACACTGGGGAAGCGTGCTTTGGGGGCGCTGACCCGACTGCGGCTTTAGCACCCCAGCTGTGTGTTTTTGGTTTTTTAAAACGGGGACGCGTGTCTGGGGGCCCCCGCCTTCCCCCCTTTTTTTTAAATTGCGGGTTCCCCCCAATCGGCCCACACCGGGGAACAAAACATTTTTCTGCACTACTCGAAACCCCCAAATGAAGGTTTCCTTTTTTGTAAACCCCCTTGGGGAAAAAAAATTGGAACTGGTTAACCCGCCCGGGGAAAAAAAAAATTTCTTCCACAAAAAAAACCCCCCCCAAAACGCTGGGATTTTAACCCTTGGTTTAAAAAGGCTTCCCCCCGAATATTTAATAAGCCAACTTTTAAAGTTTAATGGAAACTTTCTTGGGGAAAAGAGAAGAAAAAACAAATTACGGGAAAACAAAAACTGGTGAGGCTGGGGAAAAAACGCAAGGGAAAAAAAAAAAATTAAAATGGGGCCAAAACACCCAAAAAAAAACCGCACCCGGCTGGAGGGCGTAAGGGCGCGAGGAAAGGAGGGGAAATGGTGTAGAGTTTGAAAAGGGGTGAAGAGGGTTAAAAGGGGCCTAAGCCAACTGGGTTCCCCCCCGGAAGCCTTTAGAATTTTTGGGGAAAATAAGGGAAAAAACCACTGGCCCCTCGTTGGGGTACAGAAAAAGGCTGGGGGGGATGCCGGTGTTTTTATCCGCCGATTGGGTTAAAACCCCCCAACCCTGGGGTCACGCCCTTGGGGGCCCCCCGGCCCCCAACTAAAATTTCCCCCCATTCTTTGCTGAAAGGGGTTTGTGCCTGGGGGAGGAGGAGAATGGTGGGGGGACAAATTTTTTTAAGGGGTAGAGAGGGGATTTTAGGGAAAATGACCAAAACCCCCGGGGAAGGGGACCCCCTTTTTCCAATTTGGGGTGGGAAAAAATCTGGGACGAATATTTTCCCCAAAGGGGGGCCCTAAGCCCCTGAAAATAACAGAATAACTTTCTTTAAAACCCGGCCAGGTGGTGTGTGGTGGGGGTGGATTTGGTTTTTGGGGGGGGTGTTGACCCCCCACCCCTTTTTAAACCACCAATTTTTGGGTTTCCAGGGGGGTCCACCCTGGCCCCTTTTTTCGCTGAACCGGTTGTGGGGTGGTTTTGGTGTTGTAAACCCCTAATTTTACTTTAATTTTTGGGAGGGGTTGAGTCACAAGGGGGTTTTGGCCCCCCCTTTTCCTTGGAGGGGGTTGTGTTTGTGGTGTGGGGGGGGTGGGTGTGTTGTGGTGGGGTGGAGTGTGGGGTTTTTGAACCCATTTGACCAAACCCAAAGTGGGGTTTCTCGAAATAAAAAGTTCCCGGCCACCCCCCTTTTTATTTTGTGTTGTGTGTGTGTGTGTGTGTGTTTTGTGGGGGGGGGGTGGAAAATGTTGTTGTGGTTTTTTTTGGTAGGTTTGGGTTTTAATTAAACCCCCCCTATTTTTAATTTTAAATAAATGGGTTGGGGGGGGGTTTCGAAAATCCACAACTCCGGCCCTGCCTCTCTGGAAGCTGGGTTGTTGTTGTTGGGGGTTAGTTTGGTGTGGTGTGTGTGTGTGTGTGTGTGTGTGGTGTGTGTTTTTTTTGTGTTGTGGTGTGGTTGTGTTGTGTTTTGTTGTGGGGTGGGGGGGGGGGGGTGGAAAAATGTAGCACCTACTTGGGGCTGAAGGAGTAAGGCCTCAGGTTCTGGCCCTACCTCTTAACTTACACCTCTTGCCTCATGATTCGTGAAATTGCAATTGCAAACAAATCAGGGAATGGGTGGGGATTTGAACCCATGGCAAGAAAGTCCTACAACTCACAGGCCAGTGCATAAACTACTGGACCAGCTGGCTACAATAAGATTCATCCAGCTATGTAGGAAGGTTAGCATGGGCCTAGCATGGGCCACCACTGTGGTTAACACACTGGCCTTTGAGTTTTAAGATTCATTTGCCATGGGTTCAAGTCCCACCTGTTCTGTGATTTTTCTTGCTACATTCACTCCTTTGTAACCTTGTGGCCTCTATCATACCTGATCTTAAAACTATGTATGAACCCTGCCCTGAAGACTTCATCAAGATCATTCCACTTCTCAACCACTCTGAGACTGCTGAAATACTTTCCGTCATCCCTGTGACTCATCTGTGTCTAGCTTCCATCTGTGCCCTTAAGTACCCATTTCTCAACTCTCAAACAGCTTGTCACTGTTTACCCCATCTATTTCCCTAAGCATTTTGTATGCTATTATCATGTCTCCCATGTGTATGTGGGAGGGAGGGGGAATCTTGTTTGTGCATATAGGGATACAGGTGTATATATGGGAATACTAGTGAGAATCTCTTGATTTAAGGAACTGGACTTGACTTCCCCTTCCTTGGATCAAACCTGATTAGTTACCTCCACTTACCCAAAGTGTTGTGTGACCCTTATGGGTTTAGCACTTTTCCCATGATTTTTTTTTTAATTAAATAATCAGCCATTTCCCACTGAGGCAGAGTAAACCAAAAAAGAAGAAACACTTTCATCATCATTAAAACCCTCACTGTCTGCCGAAGGCAGCCGACTGCTAAATAATTCCGGGGAAAAAAAAAAAAAAAAAAAAAAAAAAAAAAAAGGGGGGGGGGGGGGGGGGGGGGGGGGGGGGGGAAAAAAAAAATTTTTTTTAAATAATGAATGGGGGAACATAGAATTTGAAAAAGGAACATCCCCCTTTTCCACAAACTAATTTTTTCCCATTCCCCAAAATTTTTGGCCCGGGGTTTTAGTTTTTCCCATATTTTTTTTTAAATTTTCCACCCCACGGGGGTAAAAAAAAAAAAAATTTTTCATTTTTCACCCCTTTCCGGGATACTGCAATAAACTTGCCTTTGGCTTCATACAAGAAAAAAAATAGGACCTCTTGAACTCATAAACACCTTTTTACCCTTTTTTAGTTTAGTACTTTTTGGTCACCGTATTACGGGGAATTTTGAAAATTCAAAAAAAAAATTTTCCTTTTCCCCAAACCCTTCCCATAAATAGCTAATGCCCCCATTTAAAAAAAGGAGGGGGGGAAAATTTTTGGGAAAAAGGAAACGGTAAAAAAAGGGGATGTAAATATGTCGAAAAAACCCTGGGCCCCACGGGTTTTTAAAATTCAAAAAGGTTTTTGGGAATTAAGGGTTTAAAATTTTAAGGGGAAAAAATAATTTATAACCAAAACCCTTGGTATTTTTAAAAAAAGGGGAAAATACATATAAGGGGGGGGAAAACCGAGCTTTCTCCGGGGGGGAAAAAAAAAAAAAAAAAAAAAAAAGGGGGGGGGGGGGGGGGGGGGGGGGGGGGGGGGGGGGGGTTTAAAAAAAAAAAAAATTTTAAAAAAAAATCCTTCGGATGCAGTTTCCACCTCCGGGACTTAGTCCGGTTAACCATTTCCCTGAACCCCTTCAAATTTCTTTGCTCCACCCAAACAGCATGTCAACTTTTTATTTATTATTATCCAAAATGGCTGTTCCCCCCAAGGCAGGGGTGGCCAAAAAAAAAACTTTCACCATCATTCACTCCCCCTCACTGTCTTGCCAGAAGGGTGCTTTAACTACATTTTTAAACGCACATTAACACCCCTCCTTCAGATGCGCCCTGTACTTTCCCATCTCCCGACTCAAGCCGGCCTGCCGGTTTCCCTGAACCCCCCCATAAATGTTACTTTGCTCACACTCCAACGCAGTCAAGTTATAAAAACCTTTTTCTCCACCATTTTCTATAAAACCCCAAAACAGTGGGATGGTAACAGCAGTCATTCAGAGAGGGACACTATCCCCTCAAAAGACTGAAATATGAACCTATTAAATTTTTTTTCCATGGACAGAATTACCATTTTTTTCCCCTGACAAGATGACAGATAAATTTTAAAAACATTTATTTACATTCGTTTATCATACTTTCCCTCTCTTATGTATTTTTTAAAACTTTTTTTTAAATCCTGTAAAAATTTCCTTCCTGTATTTTTTTTTTTTATTTTTTTTAATACCTAGTCCTTTTTTTTATATAAAAATGTTATAAATAGTGCAAATTTGACTTTTAAAACAATATCAAAGATTTGACAAAAATCCACTACCCATGTTGTATCCCTGAAGTATCGAAGGGGCCCAGTTCCTTTTTAAAAAACAACCAATTCACTTACCGCCCCTACTCTTAGAAAGGGAAACTCAGTTTAAAAGTGGGGGAGTACCTGAAAACCCCAAAAGGAAGACTTGACGAAAACAATGTGATTTACAGTGGCATTTTGAGGATCGTTTGTACATACGTACTTTACGTGGGGTGTGGGGTGTGTGTGGTTGTGGTGTGTGTGTGTGTTATGTGTGTGTGTGTGGTGTGTGTGTGTGGTGGTGTGTGTGTGTGTTTTGGGTGTGGGGCGTGCCGCTTGCACAACGCAAAACATTTGGCTATTTTTTTATTCTGAAACTTTTCACCTAACAGCAGGCTTTTTCCCGTTAATTTACAAAGTACAGAAATGGGGGGAGAAGCAGTAGAGATGTGAAGACGATGTCATCGGGTCCATCCCCCTTGAAGACTTTTAATCTTGAGGTGGTCAGTTTTAATCGGGAAAGAAGAATTTTGTTCCTTTGCCCGGGAAATAACAAAAGCGGGAAGCGACAGTAGGGAAAAAACTTACATACTGTCAGAAGGTGGGGTGTAAAGCCATTAGTATATTGGACCCCAAACCAACGATTTTAAAAATTCCTTTTCCAGAGAGTTGTCGTTAGTCAAATTAATTACCCCCAAAAATAAAAAATTTTTTGGGGAAAACCCAAATTAAAACCCTTTCCCCAGACCCCAAAAGTTTAAAAAAAAAAAAAAAAAAAAAAAAATTTTTTCACATGAAATTTTACATTTTCCTACACAGAAAAACAAGGTACTGTAAAAAATAATACTACATGAAGAATAAAGGGACATTTTTTGCCTTTTTTGGAAAGTTTTGGGATGAGTGATGAGAACTTTTTTTCTTAAAAACACTGGGTTTTTCGAGTGATCCCTTTTGAAAAAGGTTTCACTTTGCAACCCCCACTAGACTCAACCAACAAAACTTGAGATTTAAAGCCTGTCTTTCATAGACTTGTATCCTGGGAGTCCCTTTTTCCCCTCCTGAGAAATTGGGCCCCTTGTTTGGAATTTTTTTCCCAAAAACCACCCCCTGTTTGCACAAATTGAACACTTTTTGGGGAAATGAATTTTTCGTTTCCCGCCATGGCTTTCACATGTGTTTTCCCACTAAAATTTCCCTTAAATCTCTAAAAACCTTTGGGGTTTTTAAAATTTTCCCCAAATATGAACATATTTTTCCAGGCTTTTTTTTTTTCCTGTTCACCTGAGTTTTTTAGTCAAACTGGTGTGGGTCGTTCCTGGGGACAAGTTTTAAGGACCCCAATGGAAAAATTGGGCCAGCCCTCGATGACGCACTGCCTTTTTTGGGGGTTTCCTGGGGGGGCTAACCCCGGGGGGTTAATTGTTTTCTCAGTAATTGGGGTTCTTTTAAAAGCCACCCCAACAACAGTCCTCCACCTCTCGATAGTGGCAGCTGATGGTGGGCGCAGCATTTTGTTGGGGTTTGAAAGGCACAGCTGAAAAAGGGGTTGCAGCAACAGCTGACGGGGGTTTGCAGAAGCAGTAAACCTTTGGTACAGCACCAGCGGGCACCCTAACTGTGGTACAGCAGCAGCTAAACGGGGGTGCAGCGGGCACTACTGTGGAAACACCCAGCAGTAAATGGTGGGCAAAACAGCTGACAGTGGTGCAGCAACAGCTGATGGTTGAGCAGCAGCAGGGGGTTTTTTTGCAGCAACAGGGGACCATGGGCAGCAGCCAAAGCTGAGGGTGGGCACCCAGCAGCAGCTAAACTGTGGACGGGAAAAAGGGGAACGGGGTTTGCAGAAACAGCTGAGGTGGTGGCAGAAAACAGCTGACGGTGTGAAAGCAGCAGGTGACTGGGTACAGCGGGCAGTGATGGGGTGCAGCAGCAGCAACAGTGGGTGGTGAAAGCAGCAGATGACCAGGGGTACAGCAGCAGCTGACGGGGGTTGAGCCCAGCAGTGACCGTGGTACGATGTTTTTTTCGATAGTTTTTCTCCCCTTTTTACCACGGGGTTGGCACTAGATCAAAGCTTTCGGGGGGCCCCAAGGGTGGCTTAGGGTAGCAGTTTTTTTTTTTTTAACAAGTGGGCCGTCTCCCCCCAAACGGGGATAAACCTAAAAAGAGAAAAAAAATTCCCCCAAAAAGAAAATATTTTTCATCATAAATTCAACTTTTTCAACCCCCACTCACACATAACCCACTTTTTTTCAGGGTGTTTCGGGAAAAACAACAGCTTAGAAGCAAAACTATAAAGATAAACAAATATCCCCCCAAAACTCCCAAATATCCCAAAACCCCTCCTTTGGGGTTTCCCAGGAATTGTTTTCCCCTTTTTCCAGGACTCAAGTCGGGTTATATAAAAATAAGGTTTTTCTAAAATCTTTTCACAAAATTTTTTACCCCTGCTCCCCAATCCAACAAAATCGTAAGGTCCCAAAAAACCTTTCGTCCCCCATTCATTCCAAATCGAACCCGTCTCACGAAAACCCCTGCTGGAAGCCCAAAAGCCCTTCGCCACAAAACCCCCCTTTCCCCCTTCCCTTTCCCAACCTTTTCGAGGACGCCCCCACCCCCCTTTCCTTTCCCCCTACAGATTTAAATGCAAAAAAAACAATAAAATAATAAAAAAATTTATGAATTTTATGCATGAAAACCGCCCACTCTGGTTGTAAACAAGGGCACACTAGCTGAGCGAGGCACTCAGGCCAGCTGACAGAGGATGCTTTCGGGACAAATTGTTTGTTTTTCGGTTTTTTTCCCACTTTTTTTTTTTGGGCCCCAAATTTTTTTTACAAAAAAAAACGTTTCCCAAAATCAATTTTATCTTTAGACGATGCCTTCTTTGGGTTTGAGGGTCCACTGTTTTCACTTTGGGTACAAAAAACCCTTTTTTTCCCCAGGGATTTTTGATTTTACCTCCCTTTCCATACCAAAAAAGGTCGGGTTTGTTGAGGGGGCGGGCCAAGGGTTCCCAGTCTCTTCCCTTATTTCCCTTTCCGGTTAATCTTTTATTTTTTT